GTACTCTCTGCTGTCATCACGCCTCCTCCCGCGGTAGTGCTCCCGGCTGTCTGGTCCTCTGTGAGACATGGTGTGTGTCCCCTTTGGCATGGGAGCTGATGCTTTTGCCGGGCTTGCCTTGACTACTGCAGGGCGAATGAGTGGTGGTTTCTTCGGACACGGCGGTGGTGGCAACACGCGGGCATCAACGGGGCCGCACGTCTTGTCCGTTGTCAGTCCTGCGAAGACACTGCACTACGTCCCCGTGACCATCCGGTAGGAAATAGTAATTTCCAGTATGAGTTCAATGCCATGCTTGGTCTTGACGTCACAGAAATGAAGGACTATGCAGGAAACAAGTATAGCATCCTCACGATGCTGGACATTTCGACAGGATTCCATTTGTCAGAGGTTGTCAAAGAAGGTGGAGGTATGCCAACGTCAGAGGCCTGTGCGCAAGCCATTCTTCGTAGATGGATCAGTTGGGCAGGTTTTCCAAAGGCTGCAATCATGGATAGAGGTGTCCACAACCGAGGTGAGGTGTCCAAGCTGTTCGCTTCGCATGGTGTCGAGATTTTCTATGCACCATTGGAAACACCATCAGCCATTGCCAAGGTTGAAAGGCACCAAGGTATCTTGAAGGCAATCCTCAGGAAGACAATCCATGACATGGAAGCCGTAGGTCGTAATGCATTCGAAACATGCTTGCATGAATGTACTTCCGTGAAGAATCACATGCAGAGAGTCCAAGGCTATTCACCAGCACAATGGGTCCTGGGAAGGAACCCAAGAGTTCCAGGATCTGTGACAGACATGGATGAAGCAGGAAACTTGGGCATCTTGGAGAACAAGCTTGACCCTGCAGCAAGCTACCATTTGTGTCATGCATCTCGCATGGCTGCGCAAAAGGCATTTATTCATTTGGATACAAGTTCCCGTGTTGCCAGAGCATTGACCAGGAATGCAGCAGTCCAGAACAAGAAGTCATTTGTGGTTGGAGACCTCGTGGTCTACCGTCGTGACACCCAGCAAGGTGGAACCGTGTGGTCCACTGCTTCGCGTGTGATTGGCATTGATCCGCATAATGGCATCTGGTTGCTACATGAAGGTATTCCTGTTTTGTGCGCTGCTGGAAAACTCAGATCAGCAAATGAGAGTGAATCTTTGGCCTACTCCATTTTGAACAACATCCCGGTTTTCCCGGAGGCAGTGACATTGGGACAGCAGAAGTACATCCGAATGATGGACGAAGAGGCAAGCCCTAAGAAGGGACAGAAGAGAGAAGCACAAGCAGAAGATAAGACGGGCAAGGCTGCCCGATCATCTGCAAGCGCAAGCGGAAGCACAGTCGCAGTTCCGATGACCCCCGGAGGCATTGTCGGTGACGATGAGGTCATGCTTGCATTGGTTGAGAATGAAGACCATTGGAGAATCTCTGAGAGTCATGCAATTCGTGTTCACAACAAGAGGAGATTCCATGACTTCCATCCGCTGTATGACGGAGATGTTCCGGAAGGATTCGGAGGAAGACGCGTGACCAGAAAAGTCTACGAAGACGGTAGTCGAGTGACCAGCGAGTTCATGCCGGGCATGGATGATGTTGACTCTCGCGCGTGGACAGGTTTCACTGTCTTTACACGGGCAAGACACCCGTTGACCGCCGTGGCCGCCGTCGACGACACTGGACCCGACGCTGCAGAGTTTCGAGCCTTCGTAGCTCAGCGCTTTGGAGAAAACAGTGAGACGCAGGCTGGCAAAGTGGCACGGACGCTGCAGTACGACCGCTGTACTCCTGAGATGCAGGCCCGCATCTTGGACGCACGTCGTGCAGAGTGGAGCAAATATAGGAGCTTCAATGCTGCGATGCCCATTCGAGGCAAAGAGTTGGAAGAGTTGCTTCAAGAAGGGCATGTTCCCATACCCATGCAATGGGTAGATGTGGATAAGCAGGCTCATCTGACAGGCACGCCTGAACACCAGCCTGAAAACAGATCTCGTCTAGTCGCTTGTGGAAACCACGAACAAGTGAGCCGTGATGCACAGGGCATCCGCTGCGACAGCCCCACAGCTGAGACCGAAGGACACATGTTGATTGCGAGCTTCGCATCAAGCCATCGTGTGACCCTGTACGCGGCAGATGTTTCCTCGGCGTATTTCCAGAGTCAGCCAATGACGAGGTTGCTGCTCAAGCAGCCACGTGGTGGAATACCAAGTCCGGATGTACCACCGGACGCTATGCTGGTTGCACGCCTTCCGATCTATGGCACGATCGATGCAGGCAGAGGCTTTTACTTGAGGATGAATGGTGAGATCACCAGTGCCGGGTTGAAGTGCAGTCGCATCACACCTGCATTGTACTATTTGCACAATCCCAAGGGAAAGTTGATCGGCATGATCGCGACGCATGTCGATGATTTGTTGTATTGCTAACCTTGATGAAGGCAAGAAGACAATTGAAGGCATCCTCAAAAGGTTCACGATTGGCAAAACCGAGTCAGGCAGATTCCGATACTGCGGACGACAGTTCGTACAGCATGAAGACTACTCCGTGAGCATTTCTACAAGTGAGAACTGCAGAACAGTGAAGCCGATCGAAATCGACAAGCGTCGGAAGCTGTCGGAAAAGGTGACAGAGAAAGAATTGACAAGCCTCAGGAGCGTTGTTGGTAGCTTGGCTTGGGTCGCACGTTATGGAAGACCAGATCTTTGTTACCGTGTGAATGAGATGCAACGTGCATGCAGCGCAAAGGCAACAGTGCAAGACTTGAAGAACGCCAACAAGGTTGTTGAATTGGCACTTCAAGGAAGTGACTTGCAGATCACCTTCAAGAGTGATTGGATTGACTGGAGCGATTTGGCAGTTGTGACGTTTAGCGACGCAAGTTTCGCAAACGAAGAGGGCTTTAAGAGTCAGCAAGGCCGCATTCACTACATAACGAATGCGAGCAGCCTCAAGGAAGGCAGTCACGAAATGCATCTGATCAGCTTTGGTTCAACTACCTCAAAAGGGTGTGTCGTGCTACATTGCAAGCAGAAGCATATGCTCTGCAAACTGCAGTCGAACATGGAGATCGTCTACGGTGTCTGATCTGTGAGTTGACCGGACGACTTGATGACTTCAAGAACTGGCACGAGGAAACTCAGAGACGAATGGCGCATGTATACTACACCGATTGCAGGAGCTTATCGGACCATTTACTGGCAGAGGTTCCGAGAAAAGTACAAGACAAAAGGCTTGGCATAGAACTTGCTGCATTGAGGCAAGGAGTGTGGACTGTGAATGGCGAGAAGACATCGGAGATCTACAGTCCCTATGGTGACCACCTGAGGTGGATTGAGACGTCGAAGCAATTGGCAGACCCGTTGACCAAGAGCATGAGGCCAGACTACCTCCTCAAGACACTGGAAAGTGGACTTGTCAATGTCGAGAACAGTGGCGCATGCGAAAAGGGAGCCAAGACGGAAGATGAGGAAGTTTCACAATGACTTGTTTTTGAGAATTCGACATGGAAAGGCGTGGTTTACGGCCCCACGGGGAATCGAGTTTGCTTGGCTGCCTTTGTACAAATTTGAACTGTAAAGCCCGCAACACACCTGTAGATAAGACGGGTGTGAATTTTACCGGTTGTAGCCAGGGTGTATTGCGTACAGTTGATGCACCGCCGCTGCTGTCTCGGCTAAATAGGGCCCTTGAGTCGATTCGCTGCTGCGAAAAGGAACCGTGCGAGATTCAAAATTGTATATTATATTTGTCATATCTACATACTGTATATGTATATATGCATCCTTTCTCCGGCAGGGCTGGACATCCCCCCTTGCCAGCAAGAAGGCGGCCCTCAAAGCTTGTCTGGGGCACCCGGCTTGATGGAAGGGGCGGACAGCATCAACAGAATGTGGCACCGGCAAAGACATTTTGGGGCGGCGCAAATTATCAAGTCTGAAATGCTAAATAATGTGTTTCAAAGAAAATCCAAAAGGGCGTAGAGTTAGCAACGGTGCACGCTTTTTGTTCAACACTTCTGCCTGCAAACTGCAGGTGGAATTGAACATTCAACGTCTCAACCAGCTCCCGCTGCCCAATATTGAGCCAGAATGACTTCACAAGGGTTCGCCTGCAGCGAATACAGATGTCCCCATGTGCACCAAGGAGTGAACCAGAATCTAGATCAATCAAGCTCTAGGGAGAGGGCGTATAATATATATATATATATACATATAGTTATTTAATACTGAGGCGCCTGCCTTGGTCAATGGGAGCAGGCACAGGGATCTCCGGCGAGCATGTGTTTTGCCGGTTTGTCACTTTATCTAAATCTAATCTATGGGATGTCGCGATTTGGCTGCCAGCCTTGCAGGCTTTGGTCATGCTGGAGAGCTTTGAAGAGCAGAGCAAGGTGGAGCCGACATGATCTTGACACACATTGTCATCTTATGGAAGCACACCTGGTATGCAACAGCCATAGACTCAAGTAGAGACAGCCTAGTAGATACAACATCATTTTCTCATGCACTAGTGGTTCTAAGTTCTATGTTCAATTCAGGAAGAGTTCTATGTTCAACGCTACTAGGAGCAAAGCATCGCTACTAGGAGCAAGAACGCTACTAGGGGCTCCTGGCCGTACTACTAGGAACAAGAAGCTATTAGAAACAAGTAACATGTTTAGTTCCAAAAGTTCCATAGTTTCTTCTATGCCTCCAGTGTGCGCTGCATGGATTCTGCTTTTGCTCCGGCTCTTTGAGGCTGAGACAGTGGGGCATGTCTGTCTCTTGTGCACCCTTTCAGCTGCCTCAGCCTTTCAGCATCACATCATACATATCAAGCCTGCAGCTAGTGGCACACCTCGGAAACACTCGCCCAAAGTGTAGAGAAGCAGCAACCGCAGCAAAACACAATTAAGAGATCCTTTGGCTCAAAGATACTGAATTATATAGAAGTCAGATGTCTTTTGCGTTGAGCGGTTCTTACGCTTGATGAGCATACAGCCTTACATATTTGCATACATTGGCAGCAGCAAGCAGGCCTGGAACTTACAGTTCAGCACTCTGGCTGTATGGAGCCATGAAGATTCTGGTGAAGCCAATTAGAGGCTTGATACATGAAGGAGTGTGTGCCACACAGTATGTCGAACCTACTGCAAGGGAAACAGTCCCAAGAAGCGGCTCAAGTGGTTTTTTGTGTGGGTAGCGTTTCTGGAAGGGACCCCACGAATCTCCACAACCTCTTGTCATCTCAATGTGTAGTCACCATCTAATCAGCAAGCCTTTAGGTGTGGAGGTTTCCAATTGTTTTGACTCGTTTGACTGGAAGTTTGTTAGAGCTCCCCTGAGAGGAGCTGGTGGTGTGGCTTGCATTATTCCAGAGGCCAAACCACTTTGGTTGGTCGGCCGTGCCACCGATGAGGAGCTCTTTATTTGGAGCGCCTGGGAGATCTTGGGGACTCTCGGAGCCGAACCAGGGTCCGATTTCTTGTTCCTAGTAGCGATGCCAGGAGCCCCTAGTAGCTTCTTGCTCCTAGTGCTTCCGATTTCAAGTTGGCGCATCTGATGCTGGGATATGGGATTGCTGTTGGCAACCTTTTCCCAGACTGGAACTGACATCAATCAAGAAGTGTTCAATGTACGGAGGTGGAGGGATCGATGTTCCAAGTATTAAGCCTTGGCTATTGACGCACCACATGTCATGCTGCCTAATGTTTTGGCTTTGCTGACTTGCCACTTGGCACCAAGCCAAGCTGGTCCAAGGACCGACCTGGCTTCCTTCCAGCGCGTTTCAGCCCTGCTGCCCTGTGGCCTGGCAGTGCTGGGGATCTTCTACCCCCATGGAGCTGTCACGCAGCTCCACAGTAGGCTGCCTGCTTTGCGGTTGAGTGCGAGCGAGGAGGACGGGGTACTGCACGGTCAAGTGGCTGGCACTGAAGTCAGAGATTGGAAGGCCGGACGAGCCAGAGACATCTTTTGTTGTGCTGCAGGCTGTGTGAAGCTTGGAGTGAAGATGGTGAAAATAGATGAATAATGATATAGTTGAAGATAAGTTTGATAAGTTTGGTCAGCGATAGCTTGAAAACTCTGACACCTCCCTCCCCCGGGACATCTCAACGTTCAAGCTGCAAGAGTTGGAAGCATGATTCAATTCATGATATGAGTTTGCGTCCCCTTGAGGTTTAGTTCATCTATATAGCATTGTTGCGCTCTTTGTTTTCGGCACCTTCAGGTTGCGCAGCCCTCTGATCTCTTAATCCGCGCGTCTCTTGAAGTGTCCCTGCCACCAACAGAAGCTGTCAGCACGCTGAAGTCGATGATTCGCGATGCAAGGCAGCTACACTTCCGCTTTCCTGGCTCTACGCTGTTGCCCACTCTTTCAGATCTGAGAAGCCTTGCAGTGGGCCCGACAGTCTCGGTTGTACCCAATGGAAAGGAAGTGGTGGTGGAAGTGTTTTCAGAAGATTTTGGGGCTTCTGGCTGCTCCAACTTCCTGGATTTCACTTCATCAGTGCCTTTGACTCAGCGCATGGATTTTGCGGCTTATGTTCCGCAGAATGCGCCAGTGGCGAAAATGGCCGAGGAATTGGTGGAAGCTGCTGTCCAACAACTCAATATTCTTCTGGCAGCTCAAGACTCACTGGGTGACGATAGAAATCTTAGCGTCCGCTGCTTTTTGCCAGAGCTTCTGGGTCATGCAGTGTGCTTGAGGGGAACCGAGGATCGCAGTGTTCGACAAGAGCTGCACAGACTACTCAGACTTCCAGAGGAGCCACTACTAGTCCCAGATGCTGCCCTTGCGCTGCCTGGTCAGGCCATGAGCCCGAAATTAACCTGGTTATGCTATGTTTTGCACAGGGCCTTTTGGGGTGGAGCCTCTTTGGGGAAGATGTTGCAGGGTTGATCATATTGCGAGTTTCTTGGGAGGTGGCCCACGCTGCACAGTTGGCCTTGTTTTGCAGGGGTGCTTGAGATTTCTCAGGCCCACACTTTTCTGGTTCAAGTCTTCGGTCCTCAAGAGATTTGCATGTCCTAGTCAAGAGATGTGAAGAGCCTAGTAGAGATTTTGGCAGCACTTCTGCCCGACCCACACCAAAGCGCCACCATCATCTCCCAATTGTCACCGTTGGTCACCATTTTTCACCGCCTAGCACCTTAAAGTCGCCCTAGAGGCCCTAGCTCGGGCCAGTGGCAAACCGATGAATCCTCATGCGGAATGTGGATTGCAGCCTGCTTGGTGGAAGGGAGGTGAAACGACCCAGAGAGCTTTTGTGCGAGGGCTGTATGAATACAACCATTACATGCAGGAGGGAAACATGGGCGACTGACTCATTTGAGCCCCGGTTTGCCACACTCCTTCCGCGACCTTGAAACCTGTTCGTGCTTTGACTTCCTGAAGGGTTTGTCAATACCATAAAGAGATAGATACATAGATAGCTGGCTGCCAAATATATAAGACATTTCAAATATTTGTGCGACCCTGTCTGCCACAAAACATATAGGAGGATACAGGATACCTCACTAACTATGAATCAAATGATCTCCAGAACCAGTAATTGGCAATAAACCGTTACAACTGTTACAACTCTGATTTTAGATGATCTTAGTCATGGACATGAGTTAGTCTTAGCACCTCTAACCCGTTCAGTTACCTTCTAGGGTCATTGACCATTAAAAATAGTTTTGCAATATATGTCGTTGACGACTTTAATGCTTTAGTTACACCTCACACTAGGATGGCTAAGCTGCAATCATTTCACGAAAGGTAGCCCTTCAGGGGATACCTTGAGTTTGTCTTGCGAAGCAAGTGTGGGCTCCTCCGGATCTAATAATTGAGAGTTCAATTCACCCCCCCCCTTGGAATTAATTTTTAAAACACACCCCCCCCCCCCTTAGAATTGTTTTTTTTCATTTCAGCCCCCCCCCCTCTGACCGCTTCATCCCGAAGTGGATCAACTCGACACCTCGATGGTTATTTGGTGTCCCTCTGACCGCTTCATCCCGAAGTGGATCACCTCAACACCTCGATGGTTATTGTGGTGGAGCGCTCTAAGCTTGGAGCAGTGTTTGAATCCATGAAGAGACATGATATGCTGTTTTTAGTTTTTCTTCCCGTTGAGGATTACCATATATCTATATATATATATGTGATGTACATATCGAACTTTGGTCTTTTCCCCCATTCTCAAGTTGACGTTTGATTCGACTCCACCAACAACACACTGCATATGTTACATGCTTATTTTCCTTCCGCTGTCCTACCTTTCGTGTATCCTTCTTCTCAAGTTTTTTAAAACTTCACCTGGCAGTTTTAGGGTGGGAACAAATTGCCATTCCAAGATAAGCGTATTCAGTGGGATGGCTAAAATATCCCTTCATATATTTTGAGGACAGGGTGGGCACACATATTTTAAGTGTGTTAACTGGCAGCCAGATAGATAGATGATATATATATATATATATGACATGACCTTCTATGTTTTCCCTCCCTGCGAGGACAACTTTGATGACAATGGCTGGGGCTGTGCTTACCGATCATTGCAGACATGTGTAAGTTGGTACCGCATGCAGCACTACAGCACAGAAGGTGTCCCCAGCATACCGGAGATACAACGCTTGCTGAAGTGCATCGATGAGGCCCACAAAGATTTGGAGATAGGGAGCAAGAAGTGGTTCTTTGGCGAAATCTTAGTCTCTTATAGTCTAGCTCACACTTGCTTGTTCGCTTTTGCTTCCTGACCCTTGCTCGCTGACCCTGACTTCCTTGCTTTTGCTGATGTGTTTTCCACTCCGCCACAATGCTCAGAGTGATTAGAGCTAGAAGATTACTGCAACTGCCGAGGATTGGCACGGTGGAGGGCATGTACTTGTTGCAGGAATATTTGAAGGCCGGATACTTGTTGCTTGTGAGCGGCGTCTTCTGTATGAGATGCAAAGCTGAATTGAATGCCCATAATGGGATAGACCTCAGTCAGCATGCTGTGGCATGGCACGCATTCTAAAGAATGAGTGGTTTGATAGCAATCCACCGTAATCCACGTCGCTCAGGTGGATTGCAAACTGATGTACTGCCAAGACTGTGCAGACATGGCGAGCCAAGCCCCACAGATGCTTCAGCACTTGGAGACTGAGGGTACGCCTATCATGATGGGTTTCATGGCCGGAGATGCCTAGGAACTCAATCCAACCACATTGAGAGGACCTACCTACAGGTTCACAAAAAAATAGCACAAACATATTGGTTTGGCATCATGCCATTGCCGAAGTCAGAAGCGTAGATATTAAGACATGATGTAGCATCTCTTTCTTTGCTGTGAGCCCTGCTGTGCTGGCCCACCGAATTGTGCAGCTACTTAACTTTGAAGGTTTGGGATCCACTAAGTCACTAAGCTTCACAGATTCCATTTTCGACATGCCATTTCAATTTCATTGTTTGCGCAAGACTCGTGGTAAGAAGCCATCAAGACAAAGGCAGTCAGGCCAGTAACTCCCTGCTACTGTGGAGTAGTTGGGCACCTCTGTGAGGCGGCGGGGAGCCACGCCTGGGAGCCCCCAGTAGCGATGCCAGGAGCCCCTAGTAGCTTCTTGCTACTAGTAGTGATGCCCTTGTTATTAGTAGCGGTGCACTTGTTTCTAGTCACTAGCATTGGGTGAGCATGACATTCTGAAAGAGATTTTCCTGATGCATAGTCCGCATATGCCAGGTCAGCGGGTCGGGTACTGAATGGTAATTGTTTTGCACAGCCTGCCGAATTCAAAAAGCCAAAGGAGCATCACATCACATGGTTCATTTCTTCATTGCAACACCTGCAAATGGGCCTTGCGAACTCATGAAGTGTTTGAACCACAAAACGGCCAGCCCTTTCATGCCGACAGCTTTGTTTCCATTGTTGACCCGTTCTGAGCAGTCGTAGCGTCGTAGCGCCACTTTCGCAGTCGTCCTACAAAAAGCCTGCAATTCAGGTGCAGGAATGTATGCATATACCCTGGTTGGCTTGTGCTTTGATTCTGCCTCCGGTGATGATCCTTGGCTGCTTCAAGTGCGGCTTCACGCAGGGACGGGTGAGGAGTCGCATCGCTTCGGCAGTCAGCGTCTTGGGTCTTGGATGAGCTCAGGTGGCTTACTTGATCGTGGATCCCCATTACACTGGCAAGGATGACCTGAAGCCGATCCTTTCCAAGGGCTGGGTTGGTTGGAAGACCCTTGTCCGGAAAGGTTTTGTGACACTTCGGCTTTTGATGGTGTGCGTCAAGTCCAACATTTGTGTAGCACCAGAAGCTGTGAGCAAATGAGTAGGCAACTTCATTCGCACACAGGAATCTAGAGTTCTTTGAGAAGAGCACCGATGGGAGCCACTCGGCCGGCAGATTATGGCAAGTATCGAATTCTTAGAGGATTAGAAGAACCTTGGTGTTTGATATTCGGACCGATCAGGAAGAATTCAAATGACTTGATTGACATTGACCGTTTTGGCATGTTTTGGCCATCCTAGGCTTCATTAACTGTTGCTTGCCTTTGGTACCAAGAGGCTCCGAGCAGGTGTGACCACATGCGAGAAAAAGGTGGAGTGCCGGAGTGAATGGATGTGCCTGGATTAGCCCACGAGGCACCGTCACCAGAGTCTCGCCAGGACTTCGGCCTGGTGATCCAAGCATGCTGGAGAGGAGTGTCAGTCCCAGAATGCTTGGAGTACGTGCGCGTGTCAGGACGGTAAAAGGGGAGTTATGCAGAGAACCATAGCCCCAAAAATGAAACCCACAGTCGTGTCCATCAAAACAAACCATCGAACATGACCGTCGAATCTGTAGGGGGATGTCCTGGGATGCCCTTTGTTCCTAGTAATTAGCTTCTTGTTCCTAGTAGTAAGGCCAGGAGCCCCTAGTAGCGTCCTTGCTCCTAGTAGAAAAGCCCTTTGTTACTAGTCCTAGGCGTGGGAGCAAGCGGTGCAGCTGTTGGAGATGGCAGGCCCAATGGCTCGGCTGCACAGGGAAAAAGTCAGAATCCGGGATTTGCGTGGTCGCACAGTTGTGCTTTCTTCAACCTTTTGTATTATTGAGTGTGTCCTGGATCCATTTGGATTGTGATGCAGTAAGTTCAGACCAGATTATTCCAGAATGATCCAGAATGTATGCATCCAGGGGAGCAGCAGTTGCCGCTAGACTCCAAAACCTATGCCTCTGCAATGAGGGCGCCCAGAGCCCAGCCAAAGGTTCGGAAGAATTTAGCAGCAAGATCTTCTTTTTGTAACCAACATTTACCAAATCAACCTAAGCTCTCTGAATGCATACAGTGCTCGTAGAAGGCAGCTCCACCTCCATCGGTCCATTTAAATCCTGATGGGTGTTGCTTGTATTATATATATAAAGTAGCTTCACTTCTTGTCCTTACGTGTTTCTGCAGCTTTGGTTTTGCAGTTGATCTCCACCCTTGTCTCAAGCCATGGCCTTATCTCCAGCCTTTGTGGCGCCAAGTGTGGTCGCCAGCCCGCTCTCGGCCCCGGCGGTCGCCGAGCGGACCGTTGGCTCGAGTGGCTCTCGGTCCCAGGTGTCTGCTCAAACGGTGGCCGCTTTGGCGGCTGTGGGTGCCATTGCGGGGCGAGGTCGGAAGTCTCGCGGCACACGAGTGACGCGTCAGGCGGTGGTGGCCGAAGTCGGCGCCAACGCGGGAGAAAGACCCAAGGAAGGCAAACCCTTGAAGGTGATCGTTGCAGGTGGCGGAGTTGGTGGCTTGACGTCTGCTTTTTCCATGCTCAAACAGGGCTGGGATGTCCGGGTCTATGAAAAGACCGGGAAGTTTGCACGCTTTGGTGGTCCAATCCAGTTCGCCAGCAATGCCACGGCTACTCTGAAGGCCATTGATGAGCGCCTTTTTGAGCGTGTCATGGAAAAGTTCACTTTCACTGCCACTCGACGTTGCGGCATCAAGGATGGACTTAGATCAAATGGCGACTTCAGGATGACGGATGTGTTTGACCCATCATACTTCACGAATCCCGACGTGCCAGCAGATTGGTTCATCTCTTTTCCTTTGAAGGCAGGTTTCTTCGGGGTTGGGTGGGATTGGGTGGGTGTTCCTGGGCTTGTTCATCTCTGTCAGCTTCTTTTCTGCGCTGTGTGCATAAGCAAGTGCAGCAAGTGTGTCATGGCTAGCTGCAAATGGATTGGGCATGGTCTTTTGGCTCCATGCACATTGTCTTTGCCTAATTATTCCAACTTTCTTGCACATTGAAGCAAGCTCATATTGAAGTGCTACTTTGATGTGTGCACCTTCAGGAGTGTGCGGACTTCTTCAACCTCCCATACACTGGTGTGATCAACCGTCCTGATCTTCAGGATATTCTTCTTGATGAGTGCAAATCACAGAAAGAGGATTTCATTGTCAACGGCGTGTCCGTCGTTGGTTATGACGCTTGGGCGGCATATCATTCACCATGTCAGTGCTCGCTGCTGTGCATACATTCATGCTAGGTACGTCAATAAGTGTGCCACTCAACATTGACAAACCGACATTCCCGCTGGAACGACAATGAATGATTCTAGCCACCTTGTCCTGAGACTCTCAGTGTTGGCACAGGAGAACCATGACAAGGGCGTGACTGTCAAGCTCTCAGATGGCACCACCGAAGAAGCGGATCTTTTGGTGGGTGCTGATGGCATTTGGTCGGCGGTCAGAGCGCAGATGTACAATGAGGGAGGAGTGAAGGAGCGTTCCAAGGACTCTCCGCGTGTCTTCCGTGCATTTTTTCTACCTAGAGGTCCTTGGGTTGTAGTTCAGAGTCGGCCAAGGAGCGGGGAGGTATCCATTTGGTATCCATAATATGTCCCCTGTCAACAGGGACATAGGGACATATAGGGGCATACGTTCTCTACCACTTTCTCACTACAGATTTTCGCTTTAAGAGGTTATGTCAGTTTGAGGTTTACACCTGTGATGGCCAGGACGGCAAGTCGATCCAAGGGTGTCGATACTCTGGCTACACCGTTTTCGCAGGAGAAACGGTTCTTGAGGCCCGAAATGCGGATTTGAACCGCATAGCTGGGGTAGAGCGGATGCACTGGATCAGCGGGCAGAGCAAGGACTCGTAAGGCCATAAGGGCATTGTGGATATTTGCGGATCATATCCACTTGTTTGCAGGTTCCCGACTACTACGAGTGCGGCTACAAGGTCTACATTGGTCCCCAAAGGAAGCTTGGTGATGCACATTAGAGAGACAGCCAGAAAAACGATTGCCATGCTGCATGTTGTCACACTCCTAAACTAGTGTTATAGAGGAGTGTGTATGCAACTTGGTGGGTGGTATTTTTGCACGATCGTAACAGGAGTTCCCTTCGATGCTGATGGGTTCGATTCGATTGTTTTGGAAAGAATGAGGTACTTCGTAACTTCTGATGTGGGTGATGGACGAATCCAGTGGTATGCCTTCTGCGCTCTGCCGCCAGGCACTCACAAGGCCGTTTCCTTCCATCTCCTGATTAGTCCTTCGTGGTTTGTACTATTTCGTGCTTATGTCTGCCTTTTGGTTCATAAACCTGCGACTGTTGGTCCGTGTCTGAATCAACATCCCTTCGTGCGTCATGCTGCGAGTCGCCCTGGGGCCAGGCTGGAGACACTTGGGCAGGTGAGGGCGGCGATGCCAAGAAGGGAGCTGATGTGATCAGTTATTTGAAGGGCCTTCATGAAGGTGGGACTGTCCCGTTGAAGTTGATCATGATCAATGATAATTAAACGATATATGTAATATATATATATAGAGATTGTGTTTTTAATAGATGGTATATATATATATGTATGTATAGACACTTTAATTCTTATAAAGTGCAAGGATTATCATCGACCCGATCGCTTGCACGATCCAGATAGAGAATACATGTGCCGTCGAGGCTGGTCGAGTGAAGTTTTCTACGTGCTCGACAACACGGATGCGGAGTCGGTGGAACAGCATCTTGGTGACCAGAAACTGTCATCCGACATGTGTGCATGAACGAGGCAGAACTTGCCTGAGTAGCATGAATGATTTTGCATCGCTCAGCATCATAGTCATAGCCGCCACTGGTCACGGCTAAGTTTAGCCCAAGATGCACAAGATTGATGCAATGTCTCTTCTCGCCATCGAGGCGAGACTTGTACGATCGCTTGCCTGAGTTCTTCCGCTCCTGGGCCGACGGTACCTTGAGTGCAGCGTTTCAGAGTTAGGAAGGCATTCTACAGGACTCGACTTATAGGAATTTATAGGCCTCTTTCTATAGGCAAGGCTTTTGAGTGCTTGACACCTTTTCTTTTCGACATTTTCAAGGCAACGTGGTGCTCATGGGAGATGCAGTGCACCCAATGATGCCTAATCTTGGCCAGGGTGGCTGTCAGGCTATTGAGGACTGGCACATGGAATGAGAGTCTTGAAAGACTTGTTCTGGCAAGACAGCGAAAGGCTTAGGGGCTAGGCCGGCTTTATGCTAGAGTATCTTAGTATCACCAGCTTGACTTCGTAACCGCTGGAAGGCAACCATCCATTTGAATGGCTTGCAGCCATGGCACTTGCCAGGATGCGTATGAGCTGACGCGTATTCTGGCGGCGAGTAAGACCTATGCGGCAGATTTTGATCCAAAGGCAGCACAATAATTCCATGACATTCCAAGTCCATGTGATTGTGCAGGTGCCAAGTTGTCAAAGTGTTTCTTGGCAATGGCTTGAGGATGAGCATGTGCAAGTATATTTGTACATACTGGTGTACGCATATACTGTGTATATATATAATATATATATATACTGGTAGCACTTGCATTTGTTTGGACTTGCATTCTGGAGCCCCAAAGCCCGTCACATCGCAGGTCACGGCCGAAGCTCTGCAGAACTTCTACCGCTCGCGGATGCCTCGTGTGGCAGGTGTCTCTTTGATGTCCGGCCTGGCTTCGGATCTCATCATCAACGCTGGGGAGCCAAGCTCAAGTTGACGACTACACAACACACGCACACAGATATATCATGATATATCATATGAATCATATGTATGGCATATTGTGTCTGTGAGGTGAGCCAGGTGTCCCAGGTTTCCCCATATTTCCCATGTCCAAAATGGCATGACTCCAGTTTTAGACTTGGGCGACCGCCATCTTCTGAGAGGGTGAAGTTGCACGTCGTGACTGTTTTTTTACAACTGCAAGAGCACCCATATATGATCCAAACACGTTTTTATATTTTTTGGAAGTCCTTTAGATGCTACTTACCTTCGAAACGTACTTCAGAAGGTGAACGCTCATTTCACTCATTTGACTTAGGCCTTTGGCACGCCATGGTCGCCCCACGATGCACCTTGCTGGCACCAGACGGGACTGGGTACAGGGCTGTTCTTTTCTCCCTTCTTGTTGGACCAGCCTATATAACCTGGATTCTGGGTCTCCATTTCACCTTGGCAAATCGTTGCCACTCCAACTGAGGAGAAGGGCACCGATTGGAGATCGTACCTGACCCTGGGCTGGAAGCCCTTCCTCCAGTTCATTTTCTTCCCGCTGCAGCTTCTTGGACACAACTTGGTTGCGAAATTACCTGCGAAAAAGGGTAGCCTCGTAGTCACTAGTCAAGCTGCAAGTCGCACTGACCAAAACTGACGCGTGCATGATTCGGATTTGTTCAATGGCAGGTTCCTCTTCCTATATTCCAACCATCCTACGGGCGGCATGGGCGACCTCCCAAAGAGAATGGAGGAAGAGTGGCGAAAACGACACAAGAAGTCTGCGGAGGCAGGGCCAAGAACTGTAGTTTTGTGGATCCCAGTGAAGGACGGACATATCGAGATCGTTCTGTATTTAGATCCATATCAGCACAGTTGTGCCACATCACCTGGATGGCATTTTGGTGAAGGTAGCAAACAAAGAAACAACATGAATGACATCCATGCTGAGCACCTTGAAGGCAGCTTTTGCCGCAGCAAAGGGAGGTAAAAAGATGCTTCATCAGCCATCTTTCTTTGCCAAAGTCAATGCGGTGGAAGAGGAGAAGGAGAAGGCTCAACTCGTGCAAAACGTGGCTAGAAGGAATGGGCAACCCCAAACCACTTATACTTATGCCAGGTCATTGTCGCGTGAATATTGGGTATGCAAGTGATGAGCTGTTGGCAATTTCGGCTACACAACAAAAGAAACGGCACTCTGGTGCAGACATAAGCCAAATATTTATCAATGGCATTCGGACCGCCATTTGATTGTAATGTGTAGAGCTGTTCGCATTTGCTGCTTAGTTGAACCACTAGTTGAACCTACCGAGTATCTCGGCATGTTTGCTGCAGGTGCCCGCATAGTCCTGCACTTGAGACGCGATGTGTTGTTTGAGATTCAAGAGTGAGCTTGAGATCCTGAGTTGTTGATGTGCATCGAATACCAACAAGCAGACTCAGCAGACTTCCAGATTTGGTATGGGGCATTGCTTTTCATCCAACTCAGTTGGCTGGGAGGGATGGTGAAGACACCTCCCCGAAGACCTGGCCATGGTGCGGATCTTAAACCACGCCCCTGTGCTGGACCGCCATGAAGGATGTTTGCTCGACATGCCTGGTTTCATGTGCTTTTTTAAACCCAGCACGCTCAAATTGGAGGGATTGAAGTGGCCAAATCGGATGGGGGTATGGACGATTTTGACTGAGCTGTCTTTTGCTTTATGTTGAGGTAGACGACCACAAGGAAACCAGGGGTGGAGATGGGCACCCCAAACCACATATACCAGGATGTCCCCCCACAAGAAAGGTCAAATCCCTTGTGATGGCAGCAATTGAAAGGTGAGAAAGATGATCGGTTGTGCTGTGATCAGCTCTGAGGCTTTAGAGTGAAAACTAGCAAACAAGTAAACATGCGTGCTCTTTGCCTTGCTTGGCTACTGGTTGAAATGGTCAAAAGAATCCAATGCCGATTTGTGCCGCATCACCTCCATACTGAGAGGGCTTGAGTAATGCCAGAGCTCGGGAGCATCACATGTAGCTGAGCAGTACAACAGCCCAAACCCCAGGCTTCCTAACGAGTTTCGACACCTGAGATGGGCACTCTTGACTTCAGTATTTGACTGGAAACTCGCTGCAACTTTGGGTGATGCTCCTGGGCTGTTTTTCACCTCACCCCAATCCAAGCTGGCTTTGCAGCCGTTTGGCACTTTAAGATGGGGAACACCGCAAGGGATAGCAAAAGGACGCAAAAGGACTTGAGAGGACATGAGGGGACCATGTGCAAGGGGACGGTCTGCAATGAGATAAAATGTAATGATTGATGGTTTGGCAGTTTGCATTGCCGGCATTCAGTGAAGCTGTTCTGAAGGCACCAAGTGTATACTGTAATATGTATACATAATTCTCTCTCTCTATGGATGCAAGGCATGATATTACATGTGTGTGCATAGATCGCAAGAGTTGCCCATTGCACTCCATTCGCGCCTGGGTTTCCTGGGTGCAAGGAACCTCTCGGAACTTAGCTGAGGTGCTTGGAACCTTCAAGACCGCGGCTGAAAGCTGCAGAGCATGCCATGTCTTTGTCGGTGTCTCAGATACAGATACTCAATGATACTCAGATCGATTTTTTAAGGGGCTGCATGGCACGAGGATTGCTTCTCTTACTTTGAGACTGGTTTCCTCTCGACTTGCCCTGACCTGTCATCATTAGTCATTAGTCATTTGTCATGAAGTACATAGACCACAGTATGCGGTCTTTGCTGGCACCACTTATTCGAAAGATGTCCCATGTGCCATAATGTGCGTGCTCATCCTGCAGCAACTGACTGGCTTGGACCACAGAAAGATTTGTAGAGAGGCATGGCTTCTCCGGGGTTTGGCATCAGCTTTGTCAGAGCTTCACGACGACCCATTTCGGCGGTGGAGGCGGAAGGCAAGGTGCCCAATCCTCGCGACAAGTCCAGAGCAGAACCGTCGGCCATTTTCAAGGTGGAGAGCACTTGCAAGCCAGACAAGGAAGTGGACAGTTGGACGGTTGTTGTTGTCATTTGTTTTCCACAGCGTTGTTTTCCTGCAACTTGTCCCCAATTGATGCAACCCCCACTGTGACAGGTGCTTTTTAATTTTCTCAGGCTTTGGGCAAATGTGCACGGCCGGAAGTGGCTTAGGTGTTGAAATGCATTGGAAAAAAGTCATCCCTGTTGCAAGCCCAGCAGGACTGGTTTGATGATCCACCACCAGGCCTTTGTGAAATGAGCCAGCAGGACAGAGAGATTTGGAGGGAAGTCGTTCAGCAGGATGCTTTCCAACCCTTTCGAATGTCATACTACTCCTGGACGGAGTATCTCGTAGATGATCCAGCTCCCGCACCAAATCGCCGGACTCATGAAGAGTACACTCAGAGGCTGGACATTTTCATGGACAAAATTCAAGACAATCACGAGAAGTTGAAGCAGTTGGTTCAAAGGCGCCGGGCGAAAGCACTTGGTTCGGACGCCTCAGCTTTTGGCACTTGCATGTCAACGGCATCCGCATGGCTTTGCAGGTGCAAGTGAGGTGAAAAGACCATATGGGAGCCACGAAAAGCAAATTGTTTAAGTAATTCTGTTTCAGCTGAGATTGTCCCGAAATTTGAACTCTGAAAACGGATGAGAGGGACCCTGTGAAGTAAGCTTTGTCCACAGGCGGTCGGACCTCCTAAGTATCCGTTTTGATCGGAGATCTTCAATTCATTCTCAATTCCGCTGATGCTCCATCCGAGCCGTGTGGCCTCATGAAGCCACAGCGAAATCACCCCCCACCTGTTCGCGCAGCGAAATGACCCATCAGATGAAAAGTGCGATGTGTCCGACTCTTGTCGTGTCATCTTCCGAGTGTCGAAGTTCAATCAATCTTCAAGCTACGCGGTTCGAATGTCACACACAGTAGAACTTACTGGCCAGCATCTTTCAGACCTGCAAAAAAGACTTGAAAAGAGATGCCGTGCACTGAGTTACTGAGGTATGATGACTTCCTTCAGTCCACCGAGCCCCCAGGCATGCAGATGTGAATCATTGTCGAATCGCCGGGCTAAGAGTCCAAGCGATGTGATGGACTTTCAACCCAGCTGATTAAGCTGTGCCTGTACTGTACTGCTTAATTGAAAAAGATGCACGTGCCCAGCCCACTTTTCATTTGAATCTTGAGGCATCAAGTTCTTTGTGACAGCAGCAGCGGCCTGTGAGGCGATGATCGCTCTGGGGCGCTCCGCGCAGACCGTTTGGGCTCATTGTTGTGGGTGACGCACAAAGCCTAAAGCAGCTGCCAACAAATCGTTCCAGCCTACACTGTTGCAGGAGGGTCTATTCTGGGAAAAAGCACTGAAGGTCCTGGCGGATGGGTCCTGCCCTCGTGATGGTGCAGAATTTGCGCAGTCACACTATCTATTCCCTCGTGCATTTCGGGCTTTTTGCCTTACTTTTTGATATGTTGTGTCCAAGTCAGCTTGCCATTCCATGAAGCAGGGAAGCAGCATGCAATGCAGCCAACTTCTGCTTGGTTAGCCACACTTGGCCGGTCGCTACTTTGGGCCCAAGCGCGCAAGGGCGCCCCTGGACCCTCCCTGGACCCTGGACCCTCGATGGCATCACAGGCCTCGGAGGAAAGCCCCGAGGCAGGAGCCAACAAGACCATGGCGAGAGAACCAGGAGACACAGAGAAATGTTGCAGAGATGACGAAGAGAGAGCTTGACAAGAGAGCCCAGGTGGGAAACCGGAGAAAACTTAGAGAACTCCAGGCCGCCTACCTGACCTACCTTATAGATGGGAGCGCTCTGGGCCACAGTCTTCCAGAACTCAGGAGCTGTGCTTTCGAGAGGGTGAGACAGGATGTTAATCCATCACAGATTTTCCCTCGTGTACCGGAACATGCCTTCACGAGATATGATACATACGTCCTATGAATTCCTATGACGTATGATTGAAGGACGGCTTTAGATTCAACACCACGGACAGTAACTTTCTGTTCGTTGCAAAGGTATGAATGGGTCACAAAACGCTGATATGTCACATGTCTGAATATCTGCCAGCTTCGATCCCATGTTACCTCCGGGCCAGGATGATTCATCGTTTAGACAGCCCAGCCTGAAGCTCAATCTGTTGACGGTGACGGTTAGCTCACCCAATTGAATGCAATGCCACGAGTTGTCTGAAACCCGTACCCAGAGCAGCATACCGTAACTTATAGCGCATGTTATATCATAATATCATGCATTATCATATACAATCATATACACATCAAATAACATTATTGTTTTGACAGGCGCGTTTGGTCGCTTGCTGTCAGCAAGTGCAGGAGCGATGCCCAGCTCCTTGGCTCGAATGATGCTGAAAGATGCTTATTCCCAGCAGATAAATACCATTGTTGTTACTTGCACTTCCAATTTGGCACTCTTGGGTGCTCGTGCAAGTATGGCAGAGACCAACTCTTTGAATATTCAGACTGTAGTGATTCCATGTGATTCCTGCGACTACCTTCACGCTGTCACTTGCTTACAATTAGTGCTTCAGCCGGTGCTGCAAGGCCGCACGCATTCGGGTATTTGTCAGCACCCAAGGCCCGTCCAGCACTGAGACATGGGGTTTGGAATTTCAACCAAGATTGGTCTCGAGTTTGTCATCTTCAGACTTCGCGGCCTCAATTACTCTTGTGGATTCTCCACCCACACAAGTCCAGAATGCAGCTCACTGCAAGATTTGATGTGCCTCCACTTGGTGGTTGATCTGCTTGACGATCACATGCATTGACAAGTCAAAGCTGATTGGGGCGACATTTGTTGTGCTAGTGGAGCACATGGGCGTGCTACAGCCTTCAAGAGAACCACTTGCCGCGTGCCTGTGCACAGCTCCAACACAAACTAGAGCTTTTGAACACAAAGACAATTGCCGTATTGTGTAGGTACATGTCGTAGATGCAGTAGTTGGATTCAGAGTTCTGCGGTATAGCTCAAAGCTTGCACAGGTTTTCAGCAAGTGCGAGATGAAATGAGCTCAAACTTGCAGTCCGACTGGGCGGCCTGGCTTCATGATTTGACCAGAATCTCCTTTGAAAGGCCTAGACATGCAGAGTGGCACCTTTTCCCGGTAGCACGCCCTCGGAAGGATTTGAGCTGATGGACTTTTAGAGATTGTGTTCGCACGGCATGTTATTCAGAATCAAAGACGCGTGATGACGCGTGATCGGACAGTTTAGTTGGGAAAGTTCAAGGTGCAATGCGTTCCTCCTGGCAGTGATGTTGTGGAGTTCTTGCTAGAGTTTGCCCACCGGCGGGCCTCCAGAGGTTGCGAAGTGACTAGTGGCTGCAAGAATTGGGTGGATGGGATCAACCATGATGGGATGGATCTTGCATCGTCCTCACATGTTTTCGGGAATCCCCATGATGCAAACGTCACAAGGTGCCCCTCTCTTTGCCGAGGATTGTGGTGTCCAATGCCTCAGAGGTGGTGAGCGCGGTGGAGGGCAAAGTAAGCTACTTGAACGTACATCGATTTGCAGTCAAGTACTCCTGTATCAACATTGGCCATGGCATATAGGTTTTGGCCATTGCATATAGGTTTGAATGATTACCATGTATTTGGGCGATCTTGGGCCATTTTGGCTGGTACACTGGGGTCACTAGGGCCTCAAGGTGAAAATTGGAACCATCTAAGGCTGCTTGGCTTTCATGTTTGTGGATGACGAGCTCTTGATGCCGGGTTTGCGGCGAAGACCCGTGGTAGACGCAGAGGCAGGTTCTTGCGGCGAAGACCCGTGGCTTCGACCCGAAGAGAACTGATGCAATGACAGGTGCCACTGTGCTCCGCAGCTCCTGGAGGCGACACTGACAAAACAACTAGTAACTACTAGCAATGGCCTCCAACCTAAGAGCGATGGCCTCCAACCTACTAGCCCCCTTGATCGGATCAGACTTGATGCACGGTTCCTTAAGTTTGGGCACCCACACTTCATGTCAGACATGAGTGGCAATATGATGCATACCGTTCTACTATTCACTAGTCCTCTTCTTGGGCAGGCAGGCTGGGCTCATCTGGGCTCTAGAAGCGATAATTAGTCCGAAAGCCTCCCACAATCCGTGTGTCTTTAAGACGTGGAAGTGTCTGTCAACACGGCATAGGACATGTTCATACATTTTCTTCCCCAGATAGAAACATATACAGTAACTATTTGTGACACCCACTTCCTATGCTTGAAGTAGGAGCCAACGGCTCTCGCTATCTAGTGCATCACGCGAGATTTGAAACAAGTCTTTTTGCCTGGTGCTTTGTGCATGCCACTTTTCTCAAGCCAGTGGACAAGTGCTTCGATTGTGTCATTGAGTCAGTTACCATGTCAAGAACGAATCATTTTCAAAGGGCACAGGCCCAGGCCAGCATCCCTGACAACCAACAGGCACGAAGTGCGCATGGAAGTTTGTACTCTTGTACATTGTGGTCCTTTCATCCATGGGGACCTGTGCAAGCTTCCCGGTCGGGCCAGATGAATGGTCTTGGCCAAAGGCAGATCGAATACACGGGCATGGTTTTGCAAACAGTTCTGGATTTCAGTGCTCTGATGTATCAAACTCATTCACATCCCAAAGATCCTAAGGGTCTCATGGCAAGTGACATCGACTATGAAAACGTTTTTGCGGTAACTGTTCACCGATGTACAGGCGATGTCAACAGCATGCTGCATGGATTCCCGGGCTTTGCTGCTCCTGCGTTGTTTGCTGGCGGTCACCTACGTGGGTGCCTTGCTTGCAGAGGATTTCAATGTTTCAGTGTTGGGCTCTTCGCAAAGGCAAGCCGCAAGTCATGGGTTGGACTACTAAACTACTTCCATTGTTGTGATCCTTGCACCTTAGGGGTTTGTTGAACGATAACACCTGAGAGTTGAGAGTGACTGAACATCTCAGATTGAAATTGCATGAAATTGCTCTTAATATTCTCAGTTTTGAAGCGCGTTGCGTACAACAAGTTCCCTGACCACTAAATTACTTAGCTTTTTTTTCGAGCATTTTTTATTTTTTTCCGCAGCTGTTTTTCTCTCCGCAGCTGTTTCGGGGGGCCCTATCGCCTGTGCCCTTTCGGTGGTTGGGAAACTCAGTCAGACTGTTTTATCTTGTCCAGCGTTGTTTATTTTGTCATTTATTTGATTGTTTTTGATTTGACATTGAGGTGTTGACCTTGGCGGTGGCCTTTGCTGTGAGCCCTACTTCATTGCACAAGGCCAGCAGTGTTTTGGAGAACGCAGGGATTGTCATTGCTTTAGGGACTTGAGAGTTGA